CTAATATAGGAGCTAACCGACCTTTCAATTCTCTCTACAAGGCATATTGGAATTTCATAAATTGACAGTGGCCACATTAACCTAGGATATAGCCCAAATTGCAAACACTACAACTTCAACTTTCCTGGAAGTTCTGATTTATCTATTCTATCCAATCCTTCAGCCACATCTTTACTAAATTTCACCAACTGTTCCTCATCATTCAACTCCACATTGTACCACCTACCCAAGCTCTTTACTGACTTTTCCCTAATTGTTGGGATTTCCTCATCATCTATGACAAACTTCCTATCACTTAACTTCCCTCCTGTATTCCTTCCCTGTACTGAGATGCTTCTAGACTTACTAGGCTTGATCTTCATGCTGGCCCACTTGAGGTTCTTATTTACCTTCTCTGGTAGCCTCTTTGTACATGGCATTGTTGTGGTCACCAGTGTCATGTCATCCATGTAAGCCCTAACTGGTGAAAGATGCACCCCGTTCTGCCGTCTCTCCCCACCTACTACCCACTTGGAAGCCCTGATGATTACTTACATTGCCATAGTGAATGCTAATGGAGAAATTGTACACCCTGCCATAATACCTATTTCTAGCCTCTGCCAACCTAATATCCTGAAAATATGCTTTCACTAAGTACAAATGAAATCATGCTCCAATAAATTCACTTTTAGTCACATTAGTAAGAAAAAAAACAGACAATTTGGCTTTCTATTTCATTGCCTCATGAAACATTATTATAACACTGACACTTTAAGTTTCACTTGATGTGTTTGAGAGAAGTCAATACAGGGAGAGTAAATGTCAAGTAGTAAAAGAATGGCAGAGACTGATACCTGCTACTAGTGTCTGGCACCTGGCAAATATCTGAATGCCTTTGTTCTGGTATTGAAAAATTATCACATGATCATAAACATTATTCATCTATTTAACTTCATGTAAAAATTCATAGTGTTGGGTATGAATGTAAGTATACCATAACATGACTCAAACATGGACCACAAAGACAGCACAACAACAGAGTCTGATGATCTCAACTGATGTGATTTATGAGATACACCAGCTTTACCTAGAGACTGCAGTAAAATAGGTGGAGCAGAATGAATTCAATCTAAATGAAACAGGAGGGAGAATGATGAAATAGAAGACCCAAAGTTAAATCACAGTATAGGGCTGCACAATTATGACCAAAATGATAATCACGATTTTTTTGATCAGTACTGAAATCACAATTATTCAATATGATTATTGATTGTTTTGAGGGAGAAAATACTTTTGTTGCACTTTCACATTTAAATAAACAAAGCACTGCTTTCACTTCCATGCTGTGCTACTTGCCTGCTAATGTACATATTTTTGCATCAAAATAAGACTGGTTCCTATTTAAAACTTTTACTCAAAATTAAATCAAAAGAGCACCGTTTGGGGAGCGCTAGAGAGCAAATAATGGAGTAAGACGTCTTTTGCAGAGCTCCTGCCCAGCTTTTCCCTCTTTTTAAAAAAATGAAACAGCGCTGTTCTACAAACAAGTAAATAAATTCTACAAGTGTTCCTTAAGAAGCTGCAGTGTGGTTTTTACACGGTAATGGCAGCTAATCTCAGGAAATACAAGTACAACAGACCGTCCAACACCAGGCCCACCGCCCCCTCGGCGCAGAATTCAAGTGCTGACCAGGAACATGCACCCAACCCTCCTCGTACGGACTCAGAAGAAATGGGTACAGAAGATCTGAAGTCTCAGATCCTTTTGAGTTTAAAAGAGGACATCTCTGCTGTCATAAGTGCCGAATTGAAAAACTCCCTTGCTGAGGATTTCAACTATCTAAAGAACAAGCTCCAGGCAGTCAGAACAGAGTTAGCAAACAACGCGGCGCTAGCTCAATATGAGCTCGACCAAATGAAGGCTGCTATAAAAGACATGGAGGGCAGCATATCGACATGGTCGGATTAAGTGGTCAAGCTGCAAACTACTGTAACCACCTTGACAAAAGAGCTGAAGGAGCTGAAAGACAAATGTGAGGATATGGAGGGGGGGATGCGCAGATGTAATATCCATATAATGGAAGCTGCAGAGGAGCCCGGGTCAAGTTCTACAGAGTTGGTGTCTAAACTACTGTCTGAGGTGCTTCAAATGCAAAAGGACATTCTCGCGGATCGGTCACATCGGGCCTCACACCGAAGAACCCCGGCGGCAAGCCAAGTGTAATTGTGGCTAAATTACATTACTACCAGGACTGTGTGGAAGTGCTCCGCTGGGCTCGAAGTCAAGCTCTGCTCACATTCAGAGGAAAGCCCATCACCATCTTCCCGGATTACTCAGCCAGTGTGGCCAAGGCACGAGCTGCATCCACGGACGCCAGGAAACTACTACGAGAGCAGAGAGGTGTCCGCTATGGGATATTATTCCCTACCCAGCTTCATATCAGTCACAACGGGACAGACAAAGAATTCCTGGACCCAAATGAAGCCATGGCTTACATTACGAAGCACATCATTACAACAACAGAGGATGGGACACAGTAAGCAAAACTGTAAAATACCCACTTTTTCCAAATACAGCTCCCATGGGACTGAAGATGATTAAGAGAAGTAGATAGTATGTGTGTGCTGTAATATCAAACAGTGTTGTTACTCAAATACTAACTCATTGTTGTACTATGTTTACTGAATGTTATGTTGGCTCAGGGTAGTCATTGATGGGATTTCTCCATTTCTTCAATTCCTTTTAAAATCAGTCCTAAAAAATTAGATATCTGGGGACTTGGATTACACGTGATTATAAAAACCTATACAAAGCCAATTATAAACCCCTTCTGTTACGCATGAAGCAGGACTTTGACCGTTGGGACTTGTTATCCCTATCTCTTGGAGAAAGAACTAACTCAATCAAGATGATTATTTTAGCTAAACTCCTCTATATTTTTCAGAGTTTGCCAATATTTCTTACAAAATCCTTTTGTAGCAATTTACATAGTCAAATTTCAACCTTCATTTGGAACAAGAAACCATCCAGAATCAAGGGAAGAATACTACAAAGACCTCGTAAAACAGGAGGCATGTCACTTCCAAATTTTCTATACTACTATTGGTCAGCTAACATTAGAGCAATATTATATTGGTTAAGAAATGACGTTAATGATAGCTGGGTAATAATGGAGAGAGCATCCATGCAGTTTACTCCTCTGTCAATATTATGTGCTAAATTGCCACTACAGTGTTTATCCAAACAGCACCAAATCCAGTTGTAAAATACGCTATTTATTTTAAAAAATGTTACCAGTTCAGACGGCACTTCAAAGTAGTGGACCCTTCACTTGCCGCACTAGTGGCAAAGAACCTAATGTTAACTCCGTCTACAATAGATGCAGCATTTGATATATGGTCAAACAATGAAATGACCTCACTACGTGATCTCTATATTGATGGCATGTATGCCTCTTGACAGCTAGTTAAAGAATTTGACATTTTGATGAAATTTTCAGGAAAGGTGGATAATGAGACAAGGAACAGATGATAAAATTTAAAATAATAAATAAAGTCTATTGTCTGACAGCCTCAGCAGCAATTCCAATTTCTAAAGAAGGTGAAAATAGCACCATCTAGTGGCCAGACAGCACGTCTTGTTCTACTTGCTAAATATTGTTGTAATTGTAAAGTTGAAATTAATGTTCTGTGCTGGAAAAAAAGAAAGTGAAAAATACAAAAAAAACCCAACATATTATATTCTGTGTTGGTACAAAATAAAAACAAAATAAATACACCACATAACCTAATTGTGATGCAGGCTGCAAAATCTGATGCAGAAGGGGAGGGAATATCACATACTTGGTGGAGGTCTGCATTCTCTGAGTGCTTTTCTAGTTTCTTTTCCTTCACTTCTGGCCAGAAGGCTCATCCTGTGTAGATGGAAGGACTCTTCACCTCCAACATATGGACATTAGATCAAGGAAGTTATATATTATCTACAATTGGAGAAAATCTGTTGTTTTATTAAAGGATCAACTGCATGCTTTTTTGCCACCCAGCAACCATTTTTAACCTTTGTAGCAAGTATGGAAGCTGCAATATTCCCCTATCTCACACAATTTGTTTTTTTTTTTTTTGTACTTTTTTTTCTCTTCTTTCTTTATATATGTATTTTTTTTTATTACTTTATTGATTTTTTAATTTTTTTTTTGTCTTTTATTTCCTCTCGCTGATCTGGCTTCCCCTGTTTGTTTCTGGGTTGGTGGGGTTGACTTTTGTCCTTGTTGGTTTTACGTTTGCTTATTGATGCTTTGTGCATCTTACTGAATAATCAATGAAAATACCTTGTTTAAAAAAAAAAAAAAAAAAAAGCACCGTTCTCACTTTCACCTTGTGCTACATTCCCGCTAATTAAAAAATCCTGGCATCCACTCAAATGAATTCAGTGCATGTCCTATTGATATGTCTACGCTACTGTATTATTTTTTGCGTTGGCACAATAGTGGATGTCTAAGCTGACATTGGGCAAGGATGGGGATTCAGTGAGGTAACATAAGTGTCATTATTCTTCTTCGCCTTCATGCATTCATCTCACTGCAGACTGTTTTCAGGTGGTTTAACAAGTTAGTTGTGCTGCTTTGCAGTGCAGACACAAGTTTCATGCACTCTTTGCATATGATTTGTTCCCTTCTAAATCTGAAATACTTCCAAACAACAGATGACGACTGTTGATGAATGGATGATTTTCATTTAGCCCGTCTGCAGTTGCAACATTTAGACAAGTTTTTCCACAGGGTGCATGTGTAACTGACAGCTCCCCCAAAGTGAAGGGTGCTCTTACGTTAGAGAACTCTTTTTTTGATATGCAGCTGAGTTGTCAATTGGCGGAGCACACATTTTAATTCCATATCATTTCATTTTACTGTGGGAAGCCAAAGTCGTGATTGTGAATAAATTTCGATTACTTGTGCAACCCTATCACAGAGCAGAGGATTAGGTATTCAAATACAGTAGAGTACACCAATAAAGTGTCCTACCTGATCCTGCGTCCATGATGTTAGACTGTCCTCTACGATCAGCCACCAGCCGTGATGAACCGGGCATGCTGACTGGGTCTGAACGAACTGGTTGGATCCTGTGCACATAAAGTTTATGTACATTATTACACACATACAATGGAAGCTTAGGCCTTTAGTTGTCTCTTTGAATGGATCTGGTTCCATGAATCCATTGGGATGATTTAAGCCATTGTTTCAGTGATTAAGTGTAAAGCTGTCTACATTAGAGGGATAGTTGTGGTGAAATCTATGATTCTAAGTATAATATTCCTATATACACTCTTGTTTGCATGATTTCTTGGAAATAAGAGTGATGGCATCCTGATTTGTTAAAATATATGCATGTATCTTTTGCAAACCCTCTTTATGGGGTTTTCTGATTATAAATTCATACAACAAAATCAAAACTTTAATACTGGGTTTATTATTGCTGATAGTGTCAAAGTACCTCAGGCTGTGTAAGTCCAGGTCATCTGTGTCAAAGTCCAACAGGGGCTGTTGGACATCAGTGGGGCCCTGGGACTGAAGGACTGAGGAGGAGGAGGAGATGACTGTGGTCTGACCTGAGGGGTGAATAGTCTTAAATTGAAACTGGGGACCCATCCACAGGCGCCGGTGGGGCCCTGTATGGGTCACAATCTCCACCTGAAAATATAAAGATACCAATGCAATCTCTAAGTGAACATATCTTACACCTGTCTGTGTGTTCCTGTGGCCTGTTGTTCATATTCCATGATAAATAAAGCCCCATTGTATATCATAACATCACATGCTCTCACACCTGAAATCTTCGTGATTTTAATCAAATCAAACAAAGATTGCTTTGTGACCACATAAAAAACTCCAGCTATCATAAAAATTTACAAGAGCAGCAGTGTGGGTACTTAGTATTATTCAGAGACATTTTTCTAATATTGCACAGTGAATTTTGCCAATCTCTACAATATAAAACTACAAATCCTTTCATTTTACCAGCTATTTATATGGTAATTTGGTTCTAGTTATTACTTTATTAATCAATGTTCCAAATTGATAATTTCATATATTTTATGAGACTAAGTTGATAAGTTTATGCAATTAATAACTTTAAAAAAAAAATCAATTATTCCTGACAGCCATTTAAATGCTTATTAACCTACACGTTCCCAACACCATGTTCTTCATCTCAGTTTAATTCTATGTTATCATGCTACCATATACTAATTGACAATAAACACAGAGTACAGCTGAGGCTGATGGAAATACCATTAGTTTTGCAGGTATTTAGTCATAAATTTAAGTAATGTACAAATAGAAGTTTTGACCTGATGTAGGCGCTAGATAAAAGTTACAGGATCACTTAAGTTATTACATTTTATTCTGAGGGCAACATGAAGTTGTGTATCAAATTTCATGGCAATCCAATTGTTGAATTATTGTCACATTTCAGTCAAAACCACACCGGTTCTGGAGGAAAAGTCAGGTGATCAGCAAAGTCATACGGATTTATCAGTTGGGAGCAATGAATGTCTGAACAAAACGTCATGACAATCCATCCTATTGTTGTTAAGATATTCCAGTCTGGATCGAATTAGACACCTGACCCACAAAACGACCCACAGACTGACGCTGTCATCAAAAAAACATCTGTATAGCTCTCTAGACATACTCTCCTCTACCAATCCATCGACATTTAGTCAAGAGTCCTGGTAGTTTTCCTGAGGACTTGTCATCAGTGGATTTAACATGGTTTAGCGTTGAGCCATGTGCCAATACTCATCAAATGCAGTACTCATATGAACTCAGTTTCGTGACATCCAACTAAAAGCTTGCTGTACTCCTGCACCACTGAAAGTCTGGGGATGCTGTCAGAACTTGTCAAGGTCTTGTGTATGTTGGGAGTGCTGGCAGCATAATGGGAAACATTCCCAGGGGGTTAATAGAAGTGTGACATGCGCAACAACATGGCAGCAATGCTGAGGTGAGGCCTACTGGGAGAATAAGATTGGTGCCTGAACTGAGCGGCACTAATGCTGGCTGAAAGTAAGATAGGAGAGATCTACAGAGTGGGTGACTCATAAACATTGGACTATTACTGCCTGCTCCGTTCTCCATCTCCTTTTTGCCTTGAATTTACTGACTAACCATCTCCTGCCTTGGTCTCCCACTTTTCATTGCTCTCACAGGCTAACTCTGACTTTTCAACTCAACTCCCTGCAGCACTTAACACACCTCTTGGTGTCTCACTGTTCACTTTTCATTATCTTTACTTCATACATGTTCGTCTCTCACCTCAGCCGAGCTTTCAGCACACTCTCAAAGAGTGAGAGCTTACACTCTCTTTATTCTTCTGTGTGTCTGTGTTTATACACACATATGCATATACTCACTTAGATATAGGTGGTCCATCACAGCTGTGCAAATGGGCCAGAGAGGGAGGGAGGGAGGAGGATTGCCCCTTAGTATGTATGTGCTTTGCCAATTAACACCATCAATGTCACGCCCAGCCATGGGGTTGAACAGCTGCCGGTGTGCTTTCTTTGCAATGGGATGGAAGGTCCAGATGTTACAGTCCAGTGCCAACCTTCAGGCCCCCCCCCCTCCCATCTTGATGGACACAGCCGATGACATGTTGCTGCAGATTTGCCTTCATACCCATACCCTCTCTGGACTGGGCATCAAGCTAACTAATCGGCAAAACACATTTTCTTTCTCTCTCCCTCTCTCTCTCAAAAATCCAACTGGTCAATGCCAAGGTAGACATAAGTCTGTATAACTGCAGTGGCCTCAACCCATAAACAGCATGAACAAAATGCATGTAGCTACTGTGATGTCACTCATTGGTATGTGGACTCAGGTTTTGAAGCCTGACATTTTGAATTCAGCATTTCGGCAGTCATCAGTTTGGTTTCTTGGAGCCAGAAGTGACCATATTTGGATGGGAGGGTGGATAGACTCAGAGACTATGGCAATGCCTCACAGACAGCATGGCACTCAGGTGGCCCCACCCTTACATATGAATAAATTTAAGCCTTAATATAACATAAAAGAGTCAGTGTTATAAAAATTCACCCCCTCCTACAGTTGCCATGAATGTTGAAAATGGCTATAAAAAACAAGACCATTTTTGTAACAGGCTGTAAACATGTTTATCTCTGCTGTGAAGTTGGACATTTTATGGGGATTGACTGACTTCCAGAGCCAGCCCGAAGTGGACATCTGAGGAGCTTCAGTTTTTGGCACTTCCACACTGGCATTATTTTTTAACCCAGGAGGTTGTTGCATGGCTTTACTACATTAAATAGAAATGTGCATGCATTGGCCATGGTTTTATCAGAGACGTACAGTGAGTCTTAAGGTATCAGCATGCTTATTAGGTTATACAACATTGTCAGACAATGGGCTCTAGTTTCGCAGACTGGGCGTGGCAGAGGCGCAGCGCACCTGCGTGGAGTGGGTTTTACACACATCACACCAATCAAATGAGCCCCTCTCCTCGCCCTTAAATGCGCTGCACAAAGGTGTAATGAGAGTTTACTCAATTCGCCATGGCGGAAAAGAGCAGCAGCGTCAGATGGCCAAACTTCTCCCAGGAGGAAACTGATGTTTTGGTCCGGGAGGTCCAAGCTCACAGTGTCCGAATATACGGAACTGCGAGCAGACCTCCATGGGCTGATGATGCAAAGGTAGCCTGGGAGGAGGTCACCACAATTATAAATCAATGTTGCGTTTCTCTCGTGCGCGCATGCTCTCTCTTTCTCTCTCGCAGTCTCACTCTGTTTCTTTTCTTTTGACTTTTCTAAGATGACAGATGCTGAATATATACTCCCTATCTGATGCTGTGGCTGTTTGTGGTTGGCTGAGAGGGATGTGAACTCATTAGTTTGCAACTGTGTTAATCAAATCAGGTTGGGTTTCCATTACGCGTGCCAAATGTGCCAAACGGTGCCAATCCCCGTTGATCTGACATCAGATGTGACGGGACAGTCAATATAGAGATACATTTATATGCTGATTGCAGATAGTTGCATTGAATAGTGGTTTTTTGGGTATTTATTGCATCGTTAATATGCCAGATATTCTGGAAACCTGCCTGTGAGGTTTTGGTGACGTGTGTGCACTGTCCACCGGTCAGCCAAACTTCCGCTACACCGGCTGCACTCTGCCTGCACTGCCAGTAGACCTGGTTTCAGCTGGCGAGCTTTTAGCGCACCTTCGGTGAAGCCTTTTGGCAAGAAACTGTCACTGCACCAAGCTGGATCTGTCGACACCTCCCCCTGCTGCACCGCCACACCCATCTCAGCGCACCTCGGTCTGCCAAACTACCAAACTGAGCGCACCTCGGGTTGCGGTCCTGATGTCTCTCCACTTACTGTGTTATTTGCATATTTTTGTTGTCCCCATGTGAACATTCTTACAAATGGACAGACCAAGACACACTTTTGGATAGTCTTTTCTCACATTCAGTCATGATGTAGCACTTGGTTATAAACACAAAAAGTTAGGTTAAAACCCTCTTATACATCTGATTTGGTGGATTGAGATGTTGACAATCCGAAAACATTATTACACATGATATATTTCGGCTGTTGCAGTATGTATTAGGACTGTGATATATACAGTAACAAGAATCAAGAATTGACATGTCTTAACATCCTCAGACTCTTAATGTAACACAGTTGCAGCCAGGGTTCAAATGAAAAGTGGTGAAATTGATTCTCTTGATCCTTCGCTCAGTCCCACCCCTCGAGTGCAGACTGGCCAATCATAGCGTAACTACAGCCAGCTCCGACCATGACTCTTGTTTGTTCTCCACCTATGTCTCCAATATTTGTTACCATATATCGTTTTCTTATTGCCTAGTCTTATGTCCCCTCTTTTTGTCATCATAATGAGATACACCAGCTTTACACAGAGAGAGACTGCAATAAAATAGGTGTAGCAGAATGAGTTAAATCTAAATGAAACAGGAGGGAGAATGATGAAATAGAAGAACCAAAGTTAAATCACAAGAGTAGTACTATCAATCCACTGCTATGAACTAGTCACACCCTTTCCATCACATCAAAATTGACAGATCTTTATCCAAAAAAAGGGTGCAACTGGAAAACTACCCCGTAGGCCTGATCCCAGACCTGTGTTTATTTTGATTGGGTCTTTTTATCCTAAATTTATTGATAGTTGGAAATTTTTCAAAGGAGCTACATCCAAATCATCTTAGGTGCGAGCTAAGGTAAAAACCTAAGGAATACATCACTACCACTGCTCTGACAGGACGCTGACAAAAATCTAGGTTAGTGCAATGGATAGTTTTGCTCCTGGCAAACTATCATGGCAGATATGGACCAGGGCCTGTGCAAGCTAAGTGGGGTGCATTTTAACCAATCAATTATGCATGCAGCGGAATTATTGATGGTGAAAATGTAGTGGGTTACCTGCCGACACCAGAGATGAGTGCATTGAGGGTTAACCAAACTGAAAGACAAGGGGGTATGTACAGTTTTTTTTAAAACATTCTTTGACCAAATGCTGTGAACACTTCAGCACAATTTAGGATGTCAATTGTGATTAGGAGGAAGCCACAAAGTCATCCCATTTAATTCAGCAAGAAGAGTAAATGTGACTGAATCCGAAGAATTAATGTCCAAATGCTGAATGCAAATATG